CTTTTGTTTTTGAGCTTTACTCAGGGAGCAAGCAAATAGGGAGTAACCCTTATTATTGTAATGAGATTCACTTTAATGAAATTGCAATTTTGAGAGCAGAGTTATTATGCAAAAACTCTTCTTCTTTCCAATTCAATTTTCTTTTTTTATTTATTTTCTTCATCATTACAATCTTGCAATTAATATTGGTTGATTCACTTGTGAAGAATACGAGAGAATTCAATTAATGTGATTGAATTTTATTCATCAAAATTAATTCGTAATTACTCAAAGTTTTTGATTTAATTCCTAACATATTGTAAAAAAAATATTAATATGTTTTAGGAATAACTTTGGACCTATTCTTATGTAACTAATACATGATCTTTAGGAAGTTAGTGACGTGGTTAGTGGGCTGAATAAGGTTGCAATATTGCTTTAGATAATGCCTTGTTTATACTGTAAGGCTATTTAAAAGCCAAAACTTTCTCTATTAAAAAGCAAGTTGTCATCCTAAAATTTATGTATTCTTCATATATAGACTCTATTTTTGAGAGAATTTTCAGAGATATAAATTAGAGAATGTAATTTTATTAAAGAAAAAAATTAATTTATGTACTGTCATGGATATTTAGACAACACAAATTAAGACTAAAATAAGTGTAATAGTTTTTTAATCATGTTTTAGTTACCTATGACATTAAGATGACACAGTGGGAAAAAATTTTAATTGGAAAATGATGCAGAAATTTTGGCATGAAGCATCTTTTGATGCACACTAGAAGTTTAAGTTGCCATCTTGAAACTTATGTATTCTTCAGATATAAACTTTTGTTTTTAAATTTTTTTTCCAAATATATAATTCAATATCTCTGATGACTTCAAAAATTGTTTGGAATTTAAATCTATTTTTCTTCTAATTTGTGTTTTAGAATGATTCTTTTATATTTATTTTAATAAAAGGGGTCGGTTGAAGGAGATCTTTAGAGGAGTTATATGATTTGTTTAACTTTCATAGTTATTTTTAACATTTATAAAAAAAATAAAAAATAAAAACATATATAATAATGTTTTTAACAATGTTTTGTGATTTTTGGGGAAATATCTTATAAATAGTCAAAAACATTTCAAATTCTACAAAATCCTGTAATATTAATTTATTGAAATCCAAATTACAAAATATTACTGATTATAAAAATCTTTTAAAACAATCTTCTCCACAATATGATCTTACATCCTTATGAAATTTAAGAAACATTTTCATACAAAAGTTAGTTTTAAAAATATCAATATAATATACTTTTTAAATTTGATGATTTCTCTTTTCACAATTATATTTTCTCTCATACCACTGCGAAAAAATCATGAGTGTTATTGGCATTCGGATACACACCTTTTTTTAAGCCACTTTGAGAGCAAATTGATGAAGCACTCTATTATACCAAAATTTAATTCAGAGATGTATCTCCGTATGCACAAAAGAAAAGTCCGAAGATGTCTCTCCAGACAGAATGAATACTTTAACTCACACAAGAACCATCCATCTTCCTCTTTCATTTGTCTCAAAATTCACTAAACTTCAAAAACATCCAATGGGTGATCTTCTCCCATTCAAACTTTTTTTTAGCAAATCAAAATTCTCTCTGCATTCTACTTGACTTCTTGCATTCTACTTGATTTCTTGCAAAGGTTCTCAATCCATTCAACCGTCTCTTCTACAACTTAGAATTTGGTAAACTTTTTAAAAATCAATCTTTTTGTGTATTTTGAATGAGCTTTTAGGAAAAATACATTTTTTTAAAGTTATATTACCTTCGTTCCTTTTTATAAGAGACAACTTAAATTTTAGATTCATTGAATAATCAATGTATTTAGTCTAAAAACTGACCAAATACATTGATTATTGAATGAACCTAAAAAGTGAACTGTCTCTTATTAAAAGGAACGTAGGTAGTAGTAGGTAGCGTACAGTCGAAATATATATCTTTTTTTACATGCATTGAAAGTTTGATGGAATTTTTTTACTGCAATGGTATATATGTCATTTTTGTAAAATTACAGCTTTGTTTGCATCTCCAAATTCTTTCTAAATTTTTTCCAGAGATGTATCTGCAGATTACTATGTCTGAATTTTATATGAATTTGTGATGTGTCATTTTTTAATGCAAGTGCAACGGTTGAAAACAACCCTGACATAGTTAGGCTCAGATGTGTGTTCCAACCCGCATTGGTGCGATGTGAGATGGTCGTAGTCGGGACCACAAGTTGATGATAACTCATTAGATGGTTCACAACGCCGATGCCAACTATATAATTTTGCTCCTTGTAGCAGCCTCTCTCAGACATCTTCTTCACGAGACCACGAGTCTAATGATAATGCAGTAGAACCCGTGAAACCCAGGAGGAACCCGCTGCCATGTCCTTTTAGACAGTTACTCAAAAGGCCCATTTGACATTTCCTTACTTTATCTTTATGCAGATCATGCTGCTAGGCATGTCCGAGAATAAGAGGTATATTTGTTTTCTTTTGCAATATATATGTTTTCAACTAATTAAATCGATATTGATGATGATATTTTCTCTTTACGAGAGCGTACGTGTTTGAAATCGGTAAACCACGATAGAAGATATTGGAGTTGGAACACCCAAATGTTGCTTTTTCTTTGATGTTATCCTCTATTCCAGTCTTTCCTATTTATGTTCTTCTGCCTACATGACCATAAACCACAGTATGCAAGCAACTTTTGCATAAAGGTGGCATTCAGAGATGTCATATTTCCACCTTCATATAGGAGAGACGACCATCACCTTGGATGACATCACATGCCTCTTTCATCATCCCATCAAGGGAAGATTACATAAGGATCGGACGAGAGGAAGTCGTTGATATGATATTCACCCATTTGGGGCTAACCCAACAATAGCCGCACAAAAGACCTTTGACCAAGAGGTGCTCACGCAAGATTTAGTTTTTTGGAGAAGCTTTATAAAGAACATTTTTAGTAGACCTTGGATGTCGAATGTAATGGATATACAGGTTGAGTATCACCGACAATGTGCATTGAGGTGTTACCTCTTGCTTCTGATTGACACATCCATTTTTGTGGACAAAAGTGCAACCTATATCGATGTGGTCTACCTTAACTACTTTGTCGACCTGACTGCAATTCACGAGTACAACTGGGAGACTGCTTGTTTAGTCAACCTGTACTCGAAGCTAGGTAAGAGCTGTCTTTGGAAGACAAAGCAGATGACAGGGAGCTACACATTGCTTACGATAATTTATTGTTATTAATATTTTCATAATTCACTTGTTATTAAAATTTGCATTTGAACCATTTTCAGGGATGGTTCATCCCCCACTTCCCTCACATTATCGGGTGGGAAGTTGTGCCTAGCTACATTGAGGACTTGCCACATGTTGTCGCATTTGTTACGTAAACGAAAAATAGTGTGATCGAGACATTCAGAGTTATCTTGATCTTTATGTACCAAATGACGTTGTTTTATGTCCATACAACGATTATCGCGATACGCGTCTGCCTGACCTCATCTCATTATACTCTAGATGAACCTCATCTCTTATCTCTTATGTATTCTTATCTACCCGAATGAGTGATGCGTCAGTTTGACTATTTGTAGATTATTTTGAGACCTCCCTATGAGTACACTCCTCCCAGCATCTGTCGCAAAGATTTTGGTGCAGATTTCAAGAGTCACTTGATATCGAAGGAGTATCGAATAGTGGTAGCTCCTATTCAGTGGGCTTATACTGACGACTACATGGCATGACTCTATATGATGTCAACGTTATCATGACACCAGACACTCTTGGAAGACCACCTAGGTCAACTAATCATGAGGTACTTCAGGCTAAGGATGACCATACTAAGAGCATGCCAATGGTCTGTCGACGTGTTTTGAAAATAGGTAGAGCAGACATAGAGGCATGACTGTTTGAAGATGACACTCTCCAATTGACCCTCGTAGAAGACATGATTGTCAAATCACACAATGTCGTGGAGTACAAACATTAAGCAGACCCAATAGGTTTTTGTTTTGTTATATTTTGTATTTATGAAACAACTTATTGTACGACTATTTTTATAATTGAACAACTTATTGTATGACTATTTTCATAATTGAGTATTATAGTTTTTTTTTTCATAATTGACTACTATGTTTGAATCAACTTAATGTATGTGTTTTTCCTTCTAATTCATGGACTAAAATGACCAAACATATGTTTAGACTTAAAAATATCAAAATGCAATGAATAAAAACACCACAATTGAGAACATGGAGTATTTGAATACACCCAAATAACATACGAAGATGTATCTCCATACTAAAATGGGATGGATATCAAAAAAGACACAGATTTGCGTGATTTTTGACGTGTCCAAAGAACAGATTTCCAAAGGTAGGTGTGGGAGATACATATAAGGGTAGAAAGAGCAAACCCCTTAAATCTCCAGAGAGAATTGTCCTATGTTAAATTATCGGATAATCCAAAATTTATGTCTGCATAGAATTCAAAACCAAAGTTTTCCTCCAAAATTTTGTGACAGATGTTTTTCTCAAATGAGAAATTAATCATAAGAACTTATTCTTATAGAAGATTCTTTTGTAGAAGGATTACTCATTCTTCAATCAGACAATAGTGATGCCAAAATAAAGCTTCCTGCTTAAAGATCAAATAAAATAGATCTATATTATAGATTATACAAAACAATGAAATAAAGATTAATTTAGATATTTATGGGAAAGGAAGTACAAAACAAGGAAGAATCATGCAATAACAAATCTTTTTAGACAATTCTAGTATAAGTTAAAATAGCTTCTGTATCTCAATTTTTTAGAAGCTCTCATTTAAATTCTACAACTTTTTAAGGACTTTGAAGAACCATAAACTCTTTTTGAATGATAAGCTTTAGAAACTAAGCTAAATATGGCCTTAAACTAACAAAACAATCCATTGTGGGAGTTGAATATGCAGTTTTACCTCAACTGTCGAGCAATCATTGACGCGATTTGGATTTTCCTTTCGACTTACTTTTAAAACTTTTCTTATGGGGTCGTTCTTGTGTTTCTTGTAGCACTTCGTCAAGCATTTGTAACCAAAGCTTTTGAAAGTGCTTGTGAAAACCCTGTTGAAACCAATCCAAAATTTCTGAATATAATTCTCTTGGATTCTCCTTCCACACCATTCTTAACTTGGCAGAGCTATCAATTAACTTGCTCTCTAACTTGCTTAAAAGATTTCCCACCCTTTTTTGACCAAAAGCTTCTCTTCTCAAAATACTTTCTGGAGGGGCAGACATGTATTTTCGAACAGATTTCAAACATGGACACACCTGACCTTCGAGTAAAGCATAGGCAAAGACCTGCACCCGAAGCTCAACATTGCTAATGGGTAATGAGTGCTTTGGAAGCTCCCAACAGAAGCGCCCAAAGGTTGGGATGACCCAACATTTTACTTGGTCAGACTGCGCATCATAAAATGGTCTGGGATCTGTCAAGGGCGGAGAGAAGATGCACGAAGATTTGGCATTCTCAACTAGCCAAGTTGGATCGACACTCGTTACTCCATGCATGTATGCTCTCTTTGCACTAGTCTCCCCTTCTTTGTTTGGTCTTTTTGTCTCTAATAGTTCATTGTAAACCAGAAACTCAGGGCGTGCAGTAGAAACTGATGACCATCGATGAATGAAAATACTTTCATCAACCATGCATGATTGATACCTACCAACACGAGAAGTCGTCTCTCCATCAGCAGGCCCAGAAGAAATTGGAATACGCTTAGCAACCCTATCTGCCCAGCCAGCACATATTGCTTGACAAATGAGCCTTTCCTCAACCAGAGGAAGAGGATAGTGCCCAGAAGAAACTTGCCAAGCACGTTCCACATCGTCTAGAGTTCCATGAGTCCATGAATACTCTTGTTCTAAACCACCTTTATCACTCTGATAAAAGACCAGTTTGAGTAGTTGTTGTCTAAGTTTGGACATTTCATCCATGGTTTTGAAATGCAATGCATTGTCTTCACAAAATTGTACCGAATTCTGTGAATGTTCAAAACACTGCAAGGCATATGCTATGGCTAGGGCATCACTACTTACAATTCGAAATTTTTCACGAGCAGCTTTAGAGGTTTCTTTAAGTTTCTTTCTCTTTGTCTTTTCTTTTTTATCAATATTGTTCTCATTGTCTCCCATGCTAGATTTGTTGGACATTTCTGAACCTTCGCTGCTATCATTTCTTTCATATTGCATTACAAAAGGATTTGGTAAGCTCAAAGCAGCAGCAGCTGCAGCAGCATAAGCCAAAAGCAGACTTGAACATCGAACATGCTTGTGCCTTGTATTTTTTATAAGGGTAAGGATCATTCTAGAATGACGAGGACTCAAAGGATAAAGTGCCATGGCTTTTCCCAAAAGTGTAAGTTCATCCTTACAATCAAGTGCTTCAAGAGCTCTCAAGCAATTCTCAGCTTCAAGCAGGGAAGCAGCCTTAAGAGAAGTGGGAAACGGGAAGTTTGCAACCTATAGAAAAGATCATAGAAATGAAAATCCAGTTTGACCAAGAATCGAGTATATCAAATTATCAAGCAATATAAAGGCTCATAAAACAAGTAGATCGAATAAACACTCTTAAGTGAAATGAAAAAATCAAAATTACCTTCTTAATATTCATGGATTTCAAGAGAAGAACAACACCATGAACAGGCACTTTCTCAACTTCAGCAGGAGAGAACTCAGGAAACTCATTATTAAAGGCTGCAGAAGAATAAAGGCGATAACTGTGCCCTGCTGCAGTTCTTCCAGCTCTGCCTGCACGTTGATCAGCAGATGCCTTACTTATCCATTTCACTTCATATGTCTCCATGCCATTAGAGGAGTTGTAACTCTTCACCTTTTCCCTTCCGGTATCAACCACATACTTTATCCCTGGAATTGTTAAAGATGTTTCTGCAACATTTGTAGCAACAACAACAAGCCTCTCTCCCTCCTTAACTTCTTCAAATACACGAAGTTGAGCTGCAGCGGGCAGCATAGCATAAAGCGGTAGAACAAAGAGTGCACCTGGAGAAGAACTTTGATTTTCTCTAGTTATTTTCTCCCTACAAACTTTTGATGGATCTAAACCATCTCCGGTACTCACTGAAGCTTGCCCAGACAAGCTTTCAAAAGCAGCCTTCAATGAAGCAAGACTTCCTTCCTTTCCCAAGATATCCACAATATTACTATTGTTTTCTGAATCCTTATGATTATTATCATCATCATCATTGAATTCCAACTCACTCTCTGTTTCTGAATCATAAGAATCAGATTCGTTCGCATCAAAATTATTGTCATCTTCATCATAACTACTAAACCTATCAGTTTGATGGACGGATGAGCTTCCAGACACCTCAAATGCTTCACTAATCTCATTAATATTTAATCCCTCAATAGAACTTGTTTTATGGACCACAGTGCCATCATTTTCCGCAGGTCCTTTAACTTTTTTCATGATAAACTCCTTTGAAGCTTTGCGTAGCTTCCTGCACAAGTCCTCTACTTCCCTTTGTCCAGTGACAAAGACAAGTATTCCCCCAGATGGCAGCCTCTTGTGAATTGCCAGGATCTTCTTATACGCTGCACCAATATAATCTGTTATCTCAGTTTTTTTTGCAAAATACTTGGTAACTGGAAACTGCCTCGTAGGAACTTCTATCACAGGCGGGGGAGTGTGGAATAATTTTCCAGAAGTAAAGTCTTGTACTCGCAAGGTGGCACTCATCAGCACAAGTTTTAATGGAAAAACCATTTTTTCAGGACTTATACTTTCTCCCGAAAGGATCATCTTCTGCTGGTCATTATAAATCTGTCATAAATAGCAAGGTAATGAGCATGCAGATTAGAATGTCCGTGGCATGAATAGTATATGTAAGGAAATAATAACATAAGATATGACACAATTTCATTACATTGGTAAAATATTGGTAAAATAAACCACTATAATTTACCTTTTGGCGAGTTCTAATTACACGCGAGAGCATCCCGATCAGAATATCCGTGTTCAAGCTCCTCTCATGAGCCTCATCGAGAATTAGGACGGAATAACGCCTCAATAAAATATCATTCTGTGCCAGGAGGTATTCAGTTAAACAACAAAAGTACATATGATTCTGTAACTCAACTTGTTTTAGAGTAACTAATGTAAGTAAGAATGATTGCATCAGAGCATCATATCCTGATATAGTGTAGAATCATCAATATCATCACAAATTAATAAACAATAGGCACACTCCACAATAGAAGCAATGGTACTAGCAACTATTATGAGTGATAAGCATGAACATAGGAAAGAGGAAAATCGTAATCAATCCATTGCCAGTTTCCAAACTAATGTGATATGAAATATACAGAATCATAAAATGCGCATATATATTCTCAAGTAATTTTCCTAAAAAACACATGTTCCTAAGTAGATGATTTTCCTGGAACGATGGACTAAGATGTTCTACAATTAATAATAAATTCAAAGATTCTTTCCTGCAATAATTTTATGTAACTTACATGGATCCTAAATACAAACCAATGTTTTTAACTTTCCCAAAAACTGAACAAAGGTTTCTCCATATTTATCGTTTGTGACAAGCCTACTCCGTAAAATGAATGAATGGGAAACATGAGGTAAAATATAACTACCTGAACTTCTCGTAGCAAAATGCCATCAGTCATAAACTTGATAGAACAATTGTCTCCAATTCTCTTGTCGTATCTAACTTGAAAGCCAACTTCCTTTCCTAGACGAACACCAAGCTCATACGCCACACGCCTTGCTGTGGCAAGAACAGCCACCCGACGTGGTTGAGTGACACCAATAACACCACTGCGGGCATGGAACTTGCTTGAACCATAGCCCGCTTCATAAAGAAACTGATAAATTTTGAATTAATTATAAATTTATTACTCTTAATCAAAAGTAAGATATAGTTTTGAATGATAGACGATACCATCATACCATACTCCAGCAAAATATATACTAACCTGGGGAACCTGAGTTGTTTTACCACATCCAGTTTCTCCACATATGATGACACTGGAATTGTAATTTATAGCTTCCATTATCTCTTGCTCCATCATGACTATAGGAAGATCCTTTCTTTTCTCTTCAACCTCGGATGGCCTGGACACATGGACAACAGTAGGAGTAGTCAAAAGCCTCTGTATAAGAAGGTTGCTCAATTCGCTGAAATTTGTGGCGGGGTTCTCATCTGCCTTGTCCTGTATCAGGTAGAAAGTGCAAAAAAAAAACATTAAAGTAACTTGCAGATACTCAATAAGGTGACATCTTAAATCAAACAATTAATAAAAACATAACATATTAATTAACCATTATAGAAATTGTAGGCACACTACAGTGCATATACAAATCGCTTCTTCCAAATTAAGATAGTATATGAGAAAAAAAAAAGGATATTTTAATATACATACAAAAAAAAGAAGATAAACATATATGAAAACTAAAGCTTAATCTTCACAAGTGTCATGTGTTCAATGTTCCAAATGAAACAGATGTGTTGTATCTTGTATCTTGACACACACAAACCTATAACAGAGAAGGGATTATACCTTTGACTTTGTGCTTTTTATTTCGGTAATAGAACGAGAAATGGGAGAAGAACTTCTGATTTCATCAGGTTGCTTGTCAGTGGAAATGTCAGATTCATAATTTACAACTTCATTTCCATGAACTGGTTCTTGAGAGGACTCCAGGGGAGTGGATGTTGTATACAAGATTTCTCTTTCAGTTCTAAAAGGTTGAATGAAGTCATTTTCTTCAGATTCCTGCACCAAATGATTCTCTCCGTCTTCTGACTCGGGTTCATTTATACATGGAAAATCCTGTTTCTTGGACAGGTTGTTATCATGTGGAATCTCCAATCCTTCTTTTAATAAATGTACCGCTCTCCTGCGCTTTTCCTTCACAGTCTCCTCCTACAATTTATTATGGCAACGGTCAGCAGGCAATCACAATATTCTTGTAAAAGTATCATTGTTTCTAAAAATACAAATACAAACCCGGTTGATATTGCATGATGACTGCAAAAGAGGAAATGCGTACTCAGGAAGCACGTTCTCACTGAAACAAGAGTTTTAAAAGATCCAAATTTTGATTAACAACTTAGCGCTTAGCATTGAAGCAGAAACTGTAACAAGCTAATAATTAATTAACTTACTTTAATGTCATAATGGCTTTTTCCATCAAAAGTTGTTTACCCTTGTCATCCTACACAAATGAAAGGAGCCAAACAAATTGAGAGACAAAACAAAACAAAAGAGAACTAAAAGCATACCCTTTTTTCCACCCCACAAACCTCTGACTTCTTTAGCTTCCTTTTCTGAGCTTTGCTCAATCTCTGCTTCTTATTTGACTGGACTTTACCGCGCTCCTAATACAACAGAATTTCGATCAAACAAAGTGTGTAAACATGCAACTTGAAGGAACACAACGGGCCTGTTTGGATAGACAGCTTATTTGGAGCTTATAGCACAAGTGCTTATTACAATAAGCACTTATGAAAAAAAGCTTGATAAGCTATTTTTCTAACAAAGATAAAATAAATTTAAACTATTTTTATATATGTTTTAAATTGTTATCTCAGGTTATCTTTGAGAACTTATAAAAATAAGGTCAAAAAAGTTTATCAATAATGTCATAAGCTGTTTTAATAAGCTCTTCCAAACAGTGTCACAAAACTTATGTCATAAGATAAGCTCAAATAAACCAATCCAAACAGGCCCATAATCATGTTCAACTTATCCCTACCTGTTCCATCCCTTTCCTTTTCTTCATCTTCTTACTTGGCAAAATTAGTGCATTAGTATCACCATGTCCATCTCTCCTTTTCTTCCATCTCTTTGGCATATTTGGCAAATTTAGTGCATTATTATCACCATCTCCATAACTGCCCAAAAAACGAGAGAAACTATAAGAATCATTTATATCAGTTAACCAAATTTGATTCACTCTTCTTTTCTTTTAAATGTAAAAAAGGTCTTCCGTGTGCATCAATTCAGTGTTGTCAATCGCAAAAAAAACAATTGTTCTTTCAAATCGTATCTCAATACTAATTCCTAAAATATCATCACTAATAATTATGTAATGAGATGTGATTGGATAACCCCGACCCTAGTTTCGATGCTAGAGCATGTATGTCTAAAAAAAATTAATTGAAAGTGCATCAACGAAACTTTTGATCAAAAGGAGGTGATTTACCTTTGAGAATTGAGTTCAACAACATGGTTTCCAAAATTTTCGGAAGTTTCCATTTTGAAGTGAAGCCAATGCAACCACACACCACACAGATAAGGAGTCGTGAAGTGTGAAGACCCGGTTAATAACTGAAAAATAAAAAAATAAAAAATAAAGTGTCATGTTGTTTGGATTAACGGTGTAATCCAATAATTAACAGGAAAATTCACAATGAGAAGTAACTATGAAATCTGAATCCTAATTTATACGACGGTGTTTAAAATAATCAGCGAAACCTTAAGAGAGAAGGGGATAACGAGACAAATAGGGAGAGCACGGACCTGAGTAACGGCGGTCGGATAGTGACTGCGAGACGTGATGACCAGTGGTGGTGAGGTAAAGTTCCGGCGGTGGTGATTTAGCTAGGTAACAGAGAGAGGCGGCAGGAGAAGCTATCAATATCACGGCGCGGGGCACTATTCGGTTGTTTTGAGTAAACTTTATAGAAAATAAACGTTTTTTAAATACTTTTGATCCTTTAATATAATAAATGTCATTAAAAGCAATTATATATTATTATTATTATTTAATATTAAAACAATTCCATTAATCTATATAAAAAAATTAATTTTTTTTAATAATGATTAAGAGCTTAATTAATAGCATATGGTAAAGAGATATTTTTACAATCGGTTAATCAGAATCTCTAATTTATTATTTTAATTTTAATTTTAATTTTCTTTAAAATAATATATTTAAATAATTACGATGTATTATACATTTATATTTACTCGCAACCAAAAATTTATTTAAAATATTTAACTTTTATTTTAATTCTCTTTAAAATAATACATTTGAATGTTTTATATATTGATGATCTAAAATTTTTTTAGATTAACGAAGCATATCAATTAAACTAAATAACTAATATTTAAAAAATATGTTATTATTTTACTAGTGAATATTTATTTTTAATAATATCATATATATATATATATATATATATATATATATATATATATATATATATATATATATATATATATATATAAAATAAACTTACATGCACAATTTTCAATGACTTATGGCTAAAAGTATCATATTTTTTTATTGTACTAAAATTAGATTATGCCAATTTATTATACTAATACTATGTTATACATAGTCATTTTAGTTGGTAGTTGTGCATGAATATTATATGTAGATGTGCAGATTCGAACTCGCGACATCTTACTTGTTTATTTTTAAAAGGTGAAATTCACACATGCGCTATTTGTTGTTGGCTTTTCATACCTGAAACACGTTGGTCAACCAGGTGGAGTATTTTGTTTCTGCAAGGTCAAAAAGTACATGTGTGTTCCTCGTGTAAGGGTATGGGAATTCAAACGCCTTAGAAGGTTTATAACAATTGTAAGTTGATTAAGGTTTGTCCACGATGGTGAGAAGACTTTTACGGTGGTTTTAAGGATCTTTCTCGTGTGAGGTGAGAGACCTTATTGATGGACGATGTGCTTAGGTATAGGATCTAATAGGGTGTGATCGTATGGGTGATGATATTCTAAGCGTTATGATTTAAGGTGTAATTAGTTGTATGTACCGATCAAAAAGTGCAGGTGTGAGTGTTCCTCCTACAATGGTAGGGGGACTCTGAGGCCTTAGTAGGCTTATAACAATTGTAAAGTAGTTAGGACTTGCTCACGACGGTGAGAAGCCCTGTATGGTGGTGTTTTACAGTAGTTTTAAGGGTCCAACTCACGTAATGTGAGAGACCCTGTTGACGGGCAATGTGCTTAGGTATAAGCTTATGAGGGGTGTGATCATATGAGTGATGATCTTGTTAAACACTATGTTTTAGGGTGTAATGAATGGTATGGATTAAGATATGTCCCTTCCTCCCATAGGGGACAGATATTTATATAGGCCGTTTGGGCCTAGGGTTTGGGTAATCTCGTGTGGTGGAAATCGTTCTCCCTAATCAAGAGAAGTTATTGACAACATATCTTTCAAGAGTAATGAAGGATTCCTTCTCATTTGACTGACAACCTTACACGTCATTGGTACCCCCAAGGCGAGTCTTCAAGATATTTCTTGTGCGAGACAGCTTTTTGGGCGAGGGCATTCTAATTTAAGATCTTCACAAATATAACACTATACAGATCTTCAGGCACATGGGCTTTGCTAAGTGTCATACCGCAAAATTTCCCTTACGTTCTAACTTTTGTCTGGCTTATTGCCATATTCATCTCCATATACGAGTTTCTTATTAATTGTTCATTTAGGTGAATCAGTCATTCATATCATCTGCACTTCCAGGTCAAAGGTTCGTGACATGGGTTCAACTAGTTAGCTTGGTCTTAATATATAAATCATTCTCAACATTCGGTGATCATTGTGATATATTTTTCTCTTATGGTTAATTATGGTTCAAATATTATTAAAGAAATTGATCATGTGCTTTGAAAAGACAAAAATGTTAAAATATAATGTCTTACACTTGACAAACTCAAGGATCCGAATAACACACCAATACAATTATTTTTTATTGGGAGTAAACATTTACTTATTGTTGTCAAGTTAGACAATTGGGATATTCAGTGGGTGGACTTAACCCTCTTCTTGGTTTCCAAAGGTTAGAGAGGTTGCCTTTGACTGTGATGTTGCATGCATTAAGCACGGATCTGACATTCAGGATAACTTAAATGATCAACACCGTGATTCTTTTAGAAGATCATTTAAGAAAACAAAGTCGTAGAAGGTGATGTGATAGAGATAATTGATGGCTACATGTCTGAAGAAAACAAAGTCGTGGAAGGTGATGTGATAGAGAAAATTGATAACATTTTAGGTAGTACATATGATGTATATCACTTTAATGGAACAAAAAAATTTATCAGTTTACAACTGCATCAGGCGGTATTGATCTTCCTCCAAATATCACAAGTCTTGCTTCGATTATAATGTTGCCATGGTGGAATGAAGTAGAGAGTGTTTTGTAACTATTGTCATGAAGAGCAAATGAAGATAATGGTCATGGTGGTATTAATGAACGGAATGGCCATGTATGGAGGAAGGTTGAATCCTATTAGTACCAAAAAAAATTATCATTTACTTTTACTAATTTAAAAATGAATAAATGATACATAAAGGCAATTTTTTAGAATTTGCGAAATCATACACCAAAATTTTACATGGCCACCAATAAAAAACCAAATTAATATACTTTAAACTTAGGCTAATGCTTGAACATGAAATGAATGGAGCAAAATAGTTTGGAGCATGGCAGAAAAGAAAATCACATTTCATTATTTTAAAGTTTTAGACTAGAATAAAACAAATTCTTCACTCCATCCAAATTAGAATAGAAAAATATAATGGTAAGGGATATAATAGAATAAAATTCATATCAATCAATTCTGTTCCCTCCGATTCCATCAATCCAAACAACGCCCCCTTCCGTTTCCTCCGATTCCATTGGTTCAAACAACGTTTTAAGCTATTACAGTTTTGATGATCAAGATATCAAAGATCAAACTGAATTCAAACAATCACTCTCCAAGCTTTCTCATGGGAAGAATCACATAAAAGCCGAAATTAAACTGGTTTACCCATGGGAGTAGGAACATTGACACTTCTGATTTTGAGGCAAATTCACTAGAAAACGCATATAGATGATAATTTGAGGCTGATAGGCTGCATAACAGTTCCCATGGGCATCCTTTGAGGTGAATCTGTTGAGACCTCTAAATATCTTTTTCTTCATTGCAAGTTTTCTCTTGCCATATGGTCTTGGTTTACTGTAGTGCATTGCCTTATTGATTTGACATTGATTGTTTTTATTTTATTCATTAATGATAGATCTAGGAGCACACAACTCAGTGATCTTCTCTTGCAGCAATGATCAATGTCATTGTTAAAAAACATATTCAAATTGATCGTGATCAACAAATATTCACATTGAGCTCAAACGTACAGCAAGAGACTGGAAGTCTGATATTTACATTTTATTATCTGGTTTAAAGACTTGCATGTCATTGTAAAAAAAAGAAAAAAAGAAAGAGACACATCTTAATAAAACAATAATTTGACCATAAAAAATGAGTTTATTTAAAAAATCAGACTTTACTTTAGTTGATGTATGTAATTTAGCATTAAAAAAAGGAGAACAAGGAAGAAGTAAATACAAAAACTATAATTTATTATCTTTCTTTCAGATGAATTTGACATGAAAAATATATTATCATAATATTTATACCAAAAGTCCATCGTACATGACAAAATTTGTCTAACAAAAATTGAAAGGGCCCTGTGTTCATCCCTTTTCAAGAGAACATAAACTTTCTATGTCTAAAGAATTAAGGGTGGTGAGTAATAATTGATACAGAAGGTATAGCCAACCTTTTGGCAATTAGCAGTATTAAGAAACACTTCATATTCCAAGGCCGTCCGGTGCGAGAGTTAATTTACTGTCGCATAATAACTTCAATTTCTGCACATCACACCATATTAGGAGAATCAATTGTGCTGTATATAAGTTTCTGTTTGACTTCAAAAAAACTTAGAAGATGTTAATTCATAAAAGACCTTTGACTTCATTAATCGAAAAAGAAAGAAACCTTCAATAGCATAGAACAGCTTAGAAGATGATTAACTAATATAATCAGGACATTGCTCATATAAAAGTCTGCATTATGAGAGCTCTGTATTATTCCTGGGGAGGAAATTGCAAAAAGTGATGGAGTTATTACCGTAAGATAGTATGGAGGATCATCCATGGAGGTAGTGCCTAGGATTACTTCTCTTCTTAGTTTTGTTGTCAGTTTGTGACAAACACGTAGCTGAAAACAACACAATAATAACAAGATGGGATTACAATTGCAAAATCCCGGACATGGTTGCAGAAGTTCTTTATCATATTTACCTCAGATCGAGTAGCCCCGCCAATAATAAACACAAAGATTCTCTTTCCCATCTTCTTGAAATCAGCAGCTACGTTCTTTAACGTGGAGTCACTGGAATATTGAAAAAGCTATCTGTTCAGACTAAAATTGTATCCATTTGAATGCAGATTTATTTCCGTTAAAGAGACATTTATGTTTAGGCAATAGTTCATGTCACCTTGAATAACCATCGTCAGAAGTACGTGACTTAGCCCAGTTGGCTGTCCGCCTAGATCTCATTGAATGAGGAGGGGCTGTTGGAGCTGGAGTTGTCTGAGTGCTCTTGCTATTTCGAGCAGAGTTTCCTTTGGGAACGGGAATTGGTCCATTTTTACATGCATATTCACTCTTTGGCAGTTCACCCTTATTAAGACTTTCAATGAGTTCCTGACAGGTGCAATGGTAGCTATGATTTACATTTGATCATATGCAATACTAAAACTAGTCATGTCATAATTAAACAACAATATTTCTTACGCAATTTCCTTACCGTATTTAAATAAGATTTTTCTCATACAATTCAACAACAACAAAATTTTTTCTCATTAGGTATGGTTCATAGATGGCTTTTCATATGTTTACCTCGACTTGTCCCGATTCAATCTAATATACTTTGACATATAGAGGAAAAATTTATTGGAAGGCAAGTGTGAAACTCTGAATCAACTATTGACATTTTCGATAAATAGTGGAAAAACTATATATTGTGTAACTTCTAAAGTCTAACTAAATTAAACATGCAAGGTACTAGTAGCTCGCATGTTTTACTAAGCAATGATAGGCAGATCAATTATCTTGCAAATGTCTTTTACATTTTTATATTGTAAAAGCTAATGACTGCAAATCTCTCATGATGCACTAACATTATAGCATTTTTTGAGAAAGAAAAGCATAATTTTTCCTGTACAAGGATCCACTATGATGGCTTATAGAGCTCCTAGATTATATTAGAAAAAAATGTTACTTTCTTTTTCTAATATTCATGGAACTCGAGAGAACCCAAATCCAAAGATATCAGTTCACACACAATAAATTTGGAAAAGAAAAGCTTGCATGATCTTTAGTCGTACCTCTATAACAGGATAAAATCGAAACAGTGACCATGTTTCTTCCTCTTCGTTAGTACGATCTTTGCGTGCTGCTTGCGTTGTCTATGGAAGAAAAAAGTTTTAATTTTATAGATAATTTGATGCGAAATAAAGCATTCAGACAAGGGCATGAAATAGAACATTTTGCAATACAATACCACCGTCAGCTTGAAATATCTAATATCCTAACGAAAAGGAATCCATAAATCATATATTTTTATTGTTGTATATAAATCCTCACTTGACATTTATTTTTTATTTTTTTACTTCTATCAGCACGAAATGAATATATATGTTTACCTTCTGGTTACTGAACTTCAGTGAGAAAGCACCAGCATCAGATGCCTTCTTTTTTGATGATCCCGCCAGCAGTTGCATATTACTGATAACTTTCATGTCATCGGGTGATAGTTTTGCCAACTAGTTAGATAAACAAAACCATCAATAACGTTTGCTTACTACAATTTTTTTTTCTTTTGTTATAGTATTGCATTCATTCATAGATGCTGACTGCCTAAAAAAAATCAGACTGGACCTTAGAAATCAAACATATCAAGTAATGTAACAGGAAACCTACTTCTTCCCGAGTCTTAGATGCCTCATCCAAATTTATTTATGATGCAGCTATAAACAAAGAGATCCATACCCATATACAGAGATAGTTTTCAAAATAAGACATGAATATCTTGCAATTCAGAGCTTAGTACAGTGGCAGAAGTTTAATTAAGTCAATTTTTGCTACCAATCTTCTAATGAATATGAATCTGATCAGAATTTGAACATCTTTACTGATTTTGTAGTTAGGAAAAGCAGGAATATCAGGCATATTTTTAAATCATAAACCTGATAAATAAACATAATTTGTAGAATTCATGGACCATGTAGAATTCATAGGTCTTAGCATCAACCTGCATTAGCTTTACAGCTTTATCACCCTCAAACTTTTCAGGGTAGACAGATGCATAGATCATCAACAACCGCAACTTATATTCAGGAGTTGTATTCTGCACGCGGAAAATTCTTTTATAAGGAAATTGTACATAATGTGTTAAGATGTATATTATATTGCCTAATGGGAGATATGGATTCAGTACAAGACCTGCTTTGTTCTTAAAAAGTTAATAACATCCTTGGCTGCAGCATCCCCAAAAACAAGATCTTGCTCCAACTGTCCAAGCTCTCGAAGATCTGTGTCTCTGATGATTTTGTTGATCTTTCCAGCTATCTGCTTTGAATTAATAAAAAGCAGAGTGGTCAGAATAGAAATGTGTTTCTTTTGTTTTGTTGTGAGCCTTATCAACTTAAAAGAGTTATATGTTACAGCTGTTTGTGTGTCTTGGCGAGCACAACATATCGAAAACTATGCAATTTCAGTCCTCTTACATTCCATTGCCATTATTCTTATTTCTTAAGTTGCAATCAAATACTCCTCCTCGATAACTAAGAAAAAAATTATTAAAAAAAAAAGTAAGATGGAAAAACTCAATCACCTCTACATGGAGTGAAATCTTTTCTACTTGCTCAGTGTATTGGGGCAAAGCTTGAACCATTTTTTGCAAATCCCGCGTAGATATTTCACTACCATCTCTGCAAAATATCAAAGTTATAAATCAAAAGTGCTTATCCCACTATAGAGAAACGCAATGATGCCATTGGTGTTGAGAAGCATTTTAACAAGCCATTAAGCTGAGTGAAAAAGGCTTGAGAGACTATAAATCTTTCCTTTCGTATGTAATTAATGTATCTTAGTTTTAGTTTTCAATTTCATTATACAAACTATAAGCTAGGTTTGGGTTCAGTGTATTTACATTAATAAGAGAAGTTCAGATGTGATTATTCTTATTAGAGCAATATATGTACTGTTGTTTGTAACATGCAATTGCCGGTGATAGAGTACCTATAGATGTATCATTGCTGCATTTGAGCAAAAAATCTATATTTTGATCCAAACTCAAGTTACACAACATAGTACAAATTTGATATCGAGACCCGTTTTTAACTCAGCATGTTAACTGGTGGTTAGTTAAATGAAATTGAAATACTTTTTTTCCTACAGTGTATTAGTTTTGGAAAATAATAAATTGAAAATATTAGCTAAATACTTAAATAAGCTATAGAAATTTGCAACATTGCATGTGATACAAAATAAATTCATTCTAAAATAAGAGAGACAAAATACTTTGTTTGTAATTCATGCAATATTAAATCCAATGCAATATATAGAATAAGAGGTTATTCCCAAGATAAAGTGATAGGACCCTGAGTCTGAACCTTAGTCTAGTAAGAGTTAGTTAGGATATTTCCTTTATTTTAGGGATATTTTGTTATAAAAGAGAGGGGAAGATACTAGGGAATTCATTCAGAAATATTGTTAGAAAGTTGTTAGGAGAGTTACTCTCTAGTCCAGGAGCAATTCTTCTCTGGTTAGGAGTTCATAGAACTCTGGTTTATCTTTTTTTGTTCCATTTTCACCATTGTAAGAGCTTAAAGCTCATCTTTGACATTCTATGTACAGTTTGGTTATCTTGATTTTACCGGTTCTATCATAAAGTCTTGCTCAAACATGCTATACATAAAAGAAATAATGACAATACATTGAAAGCTAGGACCTGAATTTAGACCGGCATTTCACAAAACAGATGCTATTTTTCATTAAACAAGGATTAAGGTGCCAGTGAGAACCTTCCACTTTGTTGGAGTTGTGCTGCTTTGTTCTTTGATACAAAGTTGGTAAACTTTTCATGCAATCTCTCACTAGCCTGGAATTTCAGATGATAAAAGAGCATTGAGATTTGATTTCAGACAAATGAAATGCGTGTAGATAAAGAGCGAACAAGACGTACATCTGCTATATGTGAATGGCGAAGTTCGAGCCAGACTGAATCATGTTCTTCTAGAACAACCTCCTTTTTCTCAGGTGGACCCCCTGTTTTGCTGGCAACCTAAAATGATTGCTATCTCAATCAAAAGCAGCAAAATAAAAAATATTGTCTACAAGATAAGGGAAGGTGGGAAGAATGTCAATACCTCATGTATGTATTTATTTCCATCCATATCCAACAAATCATGGCACATAGCATCATAGGTCCATTCATGAATGACAGGAGCAATCTGTGGTTGCAGATTTATCCGTTATCAAAGGCGAGATATAAAGTGGAAGATTAATTTTGCAGAGGAGTATTTTTAACCTGATCAATGGATCTATCAACAATGAGTAGGTCACATGTTTCACTTTGTGGAAAGTTGGGAATAGTAGATTTATATTTAGAAACCATGTCCCAAACTGCATCAGCAAGCTTGGTAGGAACTAATTCACGACTTACTGTTGTTGCAGACTCGTCACTTTCCTTTGCCGAACGATAGTATACATGCGGTAACTCCTAATGAGATAGAGATATTAAGATATAATATTTCAGAAATTATAGAATACACAAATCCTTATCAATGAGTTACACTACACCGAAATGTCAACTTATTACTTTATAGAAGGAATCATAAAATTATATGACTACAGCTAGATATTTCACAAAACTTTGTATTAAATAAAGCTAATGAGACAGGACTTATCTAATAATTTCTGTAAACACAAATTAGTAACATTTGGTTATATGTTGCTTATGTTTGAGTTCAAATGTGGTATAGCCTAGTTGTAGATAATGTATTTTTACTATTATTAGTAGTAATTTGTATCCGGCCCAATATTCTATTAGTGAGACTCATTAGGTTAGAAAAGCCTATACAAACCATAAAGGGGTTAGTGCTCGTACATCATTCATACTGGAAATACAAAATTCAGTTTTCACAGCTTTGTAGGTTTGATTTAGACTCAACCCAAATTTCTAATATGGTATCAGAGCGTGAGGGGTGTGTTGGAAATTCTGCCTTCACTGTGGTCCACCCCTAATTGCGGCATTTGGATTGCCTTCGTTGCAGCCTCCAACACCTTCATTTTGTTGGGTGTGAAAGGGTGAATTTAATCTCACACTGCCTAGAGGTATGGCGTGTGTAGTGTTTATAAAGCTTGGGCAACCTTCACCTTACATGTTTTAAGGTTGAGCTAGGCTCAACCCAAAACCTCCAGGGGTTGGCCTAGTGGTGAAGACTTAGGTCCTGAGAGTGTGCTTCTCTCAAGGTTCGATCCCGCTAACTGCAAACAATTCATGTATTGGGCCAAGTCCATATAAAACTCTGCTGTGCCTTTAAACGGGACCCCCACAAGTGGACGGTGGGATTGGTCCCCTTGGAATAGTCGGTCGCAAGGCCGGATATCAAGATTTTAAAAAAAAGGTTAGGCTCCTACAAAACCTTAACCATCTTATTGTCTCATTAAATTGAGCAAGAAAAGTAATCCATTAAAACCTTGATCCAAGTTTAAATTACGAACATAAAACATGAGGTGCAAAGGTATTTAAGTAATACCTTCATTGAAGCAAAAACTGTAGCTATTCGAATTGCCATATTATTCAAGTAGCTATTTAATCTACGAACATTGTCAACATTTCCATAAAGTTCTTGCAGTGCTGTGTCTTGATCAGTGATAAACCCCTACAAATATAGATTTCGCAATACAAATCAAAATTTCCCTCATTAAAACATTATGTACAAAGGTCAAGGTGATTTTTTGCTTAAAATAAATACAAAAACAAACACAATAGCTTCTTAATTCAATGGCTTTCACAAAAGATGGATAGTTAATTTCGGATATCACTTTGACATGATATCCAAGGATATTAGAAGAAGCGCATGCTTTGAGTATTTCTACTTATATAAAACTATGGGGAGCCACGGTGAAACAGGCGGAGCTGCTACTGTGTGATCATAGAGGAGTTTGATTTTTGGCGGGAGTTCTATAGAAATAGATTGTCATTGTTCAGTAGAAAATGTACATGCATGTAAGCATCTCCTGTCTTAAATATGTCAAATTTTACTGTCTATGCAGGCATGTCTGGTTACATGCAGGAATGCTGTTATGCACAGTTTCAGGTATAAGTTGAAGAATCCTACTCTACTCTATGCTTGCATTATTTATTTTGTTTTTAAGTTCCATAAGATAAGGGATGTTAAAAATCCCTTTCCGCTCTTTTCCATACAAGAGGGGCTTACTTATGTGTACGCTTGTTTGCGTAATGTATACATAAGTAGTACTTAGCAGATGACATCTTTAGAGGGAGCAATGCTTTGGTACTTGGTACTTACAGTCAGTTCTAGTACTTGCTCTATCTATATCATTTATTTTAGCATCACCTACTAGGCAAGTTGATTGTGCAGCATCACTTTGGTATGTAAGTTCCGCGTCTTGCATTAGAAATCATATTTGAAAATTTGGACATTCCTTACCGTTCCTTACATAGACAATATCGTGAATATTTAGAGAGGGGGTTTATGATACTGTAGATTGAGAGTAGACATGTCAATGGACTAAACTATTAATCAAAGACGCAAATCCACTATCTTATGAGTGAAATACATTACCAAAAACATGAAATAGTTCTATCATTATTTACCTGGCTATCTATTGGAAAGTATTCCAAATTCATCTGCAAATTACACCAAAAATAATTACGGCCAAAAACAATTTGACTATGATTACTTGCTTATAAATACTAGATAGAAGGTTAAAGCAAATCATGACCTCTCTCAATGCACCTATGCGTGGTAAGACACTTGTATCACATTTAATGTGGTTTACAAGTTCTTTTGGGATTGGTGAGCTGAAAAATATATAGGCTCTGGAAAGTAGTATAGGAACAAAGGACCACCCATGAAATGAAACAATCAGTTTGATTCCAAACGTATAAAAGAAGAAATGATACAATACTTGTGAAAAATAAAAGCCTGTACATACTTCTTGTACAGCGGCTCCCTTCCAGACATATCAGACAAGAACATGACCACACTGCATGCTAGCAAAAGAGATGTTTAATATGGATAAAGTATACAAGCAGAAAAAAAAACAAAATAAAAGAGAAAAAAATCAGCTGAAAATAATGCATGAAGATCACACAGATAATTGGCTCAAAAATCAAAATAAAACTAGATATTAAGAGGACCAGACATACATTTAACCCCTAACTAGAACTATCTTAAACTATTGCAAATTATAATATCACATTCATTCCAAATAACTATGAAAAAACCCATTTTCAATCTACTTTTTTATGTGTTTGGATTAGGCATCTGAGTTCTCTTGGAGCCTCACTCATTTTGTTTTAATCACTTTTACCATAATACAGTATAAAAGCATCCCCATTGCTGACTGAGTGTCACTCAGGTTCTAGTTTGGATAGTCGGTATTTCAGCATGCTTTTCCATGTTCCCAGCCTTGAATAATACAACTATCACTTCCTTTACAACTGCAATATGCTATCCACAATTGAACTGCTATCTATCATTAAATTAAGACTAGAGTGATCTGAGTGATTGTAGCACACCATATTTATCAAGAACAAAAAAATTCACGCACCCTACAAACAACACATTTATTTGGGCTAGTCTCACGGTAAAGGTTATCCTTTTGATGTAACTTTTGGTATCTCAACTAATACCCTCTGTGCTCCAAAAACACGTGTTGCATATGTTTTATAACTTCCTAATTCATAAATTCAGAGAAGACAACAAAATAAGGGAACTTTCTATGACTGATTTATGCAAATACAGGAAAAGATTTGAATAACGAAGTCCTTGAAACGTGACAATCTTTCCGTGAAGGATTTTCATTAAACTTTGTCTGGCTGCTATAAGCCAAGAAGAAGAAGAATATATTAGGAGTCCTAGTTATTCTTTTGAATGTAATATAACATACCCACTCTATCCTCCACCCATTTTTAACTTACAAAGATATCTGTCATTAAATTATAGAAAAGTCTGTTATTAAATAACTTCAGATAATTTCCTATTTTTAAGGAGTTTGAAACCCTCTACTTCCATGTGATAAATAAAAATACACATGTTGCATCAAACTGTTAAACTAAACTACAGAAGACACACTCACACACATATGTGTGTACTGAAATTGTGATGGGAAAGAAGAAGACAGACAGGCTAGCTATGCTCACATGCAAGCAAGTGTAAGACAACAATGGTGTAATAAATCTATGAAATTTGCAACTAACTTTTCCTTGAACAATAAAACAAATGTTTTATTTATACATGATTTTTTATTGCTGACTTAAATAATGGAAATTTCTAATTAAGAAACAAAAATTACTTCTCTTTTGAAGGCTGGATGAAATAAACAGCATCCAATGATGGTAACGGTTGCCTTCTCCGGAAAAGGTCTTCCACCACTGCAATGAGATAAGACCAAGTTATAATACACCAATATTTTAATAAAGTAACCTTGAAACATTTCTTCGGTGAATATCAGAAGACGTAATAAACATTGAACAGCAGAAAGCACCTAAGTTATACTCAATATTCAATGATAAGATTAACTGCCATCATGTGTAAAATGGTAATATGTCTTAATGAGGGAGAAATATTGTCGTAATGATACTTTGTTATTCTCCAGTCACTTAGAATAGCATGCAATCACACATACTGAGAAACACTTCTAATCTCTTAGTCAATTTTCTAAAAATTCTTGGAAGTGATGAGCTTTAGCGCCAACACTCACTTCTAAAGTGTATAGCCATTTATTGGCAATGAGAAGTGCGTCTTACAAAGATAGTTAATTTTTTATCCTGTGCCATCAGTAAAAGCAAATTGGTTCTCAAAAAAGAAATGCAGAAAAATAAACTCATAAATGCCATATCCTTTTAGTTTTCTTACAAGAAACTTCTTGGTCTGTAATATCTGCCATTTTACATGAATGTGACATAACTTTCACCGTAACTTTGTCCATTATGAGCACCTATAAGAATTAGAAAAAGTAGACCAATATCAGCCGTGAACTTGAATCAACTAAAGATAAGATACTAAGATAAACTAAATATGAGAGGTGCAAAAACATCCATATTAAAACCACACCTTCCATGCTTTTGAATCCCCTGACTTGGCTGATCTAAGCATTTCATATAATAATCCTATGAACATACAGAAATGAAAAGAATTAGGAAACGGGTCAAAAAAGTGAAGGAAACACATGCATGGTATTTATTACAGTGCATCTAGAAGTGCTTATGAAGATAACTTAAAAGCTAAAACATGTTCTTAAATTTTTTTCAGCTTATTTTCATAAATTTAACATCATAGATTATACACTACATATATGCAGATATTCCTTTAATTCTCTATTCCATTGTAAAAGCAACCCATACACAAACATGAATACAATTTAGTTAAGCATTTTTATGTAGCAAATGCATTTCCATAATTGGAAGTCCGCACAATTTGTCAAGTGAGAGGAATCACGATTTGCCACCACGATTTTATCAAACTCACCGTCATTCCAAACACGAATGTAATCTATTTTGAACAATGAGCGCCAAAACATGGTCTGAAATATTGAAGCTATCTCATTTCTTTTGCTACATTTTTATCAGAGAAACACATAGGTTCATTTTCTAGAATATTGGATGCAGAAAACATTAATAAAAAGGATCCACAACGAACTTTACAAATTCTTTTAGTTTCAACCAACATGATTACGAGATTTAATTTCTAAACCAAATCAAATTCAGTTATAGAACGCTTTCAAAGTTTCTAGTTTCTAGTATGAAGCACTAATATGGCCTGACACAAACACCAAATACGACCAGTGACAAGTAGGCATCTGTATAATTTAAGAAAACAAATGTGATTGAATGTAACTATGTGTATGATTGATACTGCGGCACACGGTAGCTATTTTGTAGAAGCTCCAAAATGTAAGGTTTTAAACCACGTCAAAACGGTATCAAAGGTGCCAATACCGATACCATTATTCACCTTTTTTTATCAAGAATAATTTATGGTTAACTCACACCGCAACAACAGAAATCAGTGTCGCAACCTCTGTACCAACCGAAATCGCAAAAGCCTTTATACCACCGTTATTAAAAACCTAACAATCAGGTGGCTCACCGTAATTAGGTCAAACTCTCCGCGAATCTAAACATGCACTACATCTCAATATCATAATGACGGGGATCAAATAGTGTCGGTACTACATAACTTTCCGTCCTGAGCTATTTTTCTCAGCTCAGTGAAACATAATCTGAAGCTTCGCAACCACAGAAACGCTACATGTAAAATTTCCCCTACACGTAAACAACCGCAAAATAAACGAGAGAAATGAAATGCGAAGCGGAACGAAAGAGATCTCACTATCGCGGCTGATATGACGAAAAGGCTTGTAATCCGATCCACCGCCACCGCCATAGGAGGTTTCGGAATCCGATAGCGACATTGTTGTTGCTGCAGCTTGTTAGAATCGAAGCTGTGAATGAAAATTTGAGAATGGAAAATGGAGAGAAAAAACCGTTGGGACATTTGAGGGAAGAAGAATAAGCTTGAGAAAGTGGTTATTATTGTGAGGACGTGTAATTTGGAACTCGAGTTTCGGTTACGGTTTGTGCTCTCCATGTCAAACTCATTGTGTTTTTATACTTGGATTCAAACGATGTCGTTATGGTCTCATCGTTTTGAAAATAAATAGTTAAATGTATTATTTAAAATTTAGCTAATACCCATTTTAATCTCTTAATTATATCTCTGGATCCATTTTAATCCTTTTTTTTAAAACATCTAATTTGATCTCTTACGTTATCAAACAAAATCAAACAAGTCATTCTATCAAATATTAATAAACGATATTAGAAGAATAAGACGTGACATCTGAAGTGGATTGTCCTATTCATCACATTCTTCTTCTTCGTTGTTGAAACAATTTATCAATTACCCCCAATCTAGCCTAATGCGAATAGTTCATAAATTCTCAAATTTAAATCTAATTTGTCTACATTAGTGCACTAATCATGAGTTCTGGTTGCGGTTCATCATCATCGTCGAAAAATAGAAGTGATTCATAGGTATTTAACAGCTCTAATCTTCCATAGAAACCTTTTTGTCGTTGTGGAGATAATGTTGTACTTCGAAGGGCAAAAACTGTCAACAATTATGAAAAGTTTTTTAGGGGTTGTCAACATTTTAAGGTAAGTTTTAGTCTGAATAATCTAGGTTGAAATTTTGTTGAAATGTCTATTTATTACATTGTATTTTCTTGCACTTAATCTCTACAGGGATATAGTAATCCTGGTTGTGGATTTTTTGAATGGTACTACAAAAAGGTTAGAGATGAAAAGGAACAAATCACGATGAAGTAACAAAGTAAGATATATGTGTTAACTCAAGAGATGGAGGAAGTCAAAAAAGAGGTTGAAGTATAGAGGCTCAGTAATATGAAATTAGAAGATGCTTTGAAGAACATCATCAAGTGGAATTTTTTTTGGTAGTTTATGTTCTATGTTCTATGTTGTGTTGTTTGTTTTAGTATTCAAGTTGTTGCAAAAGTTGGAAGTTTATGTTGAATGTTGTGTTCTATGTTTTAGTATTCAAGTTGTTGTAAAAGTTGGAATTATGTTGAATGTTGTGTTCTATGTTTTAGTATTCAAGTTTTTGTAAAACTTGAATATTTTATGAATGTTATATGGATGTTTTATCCAATGTTCAAACTTGCACGATTTTGACAATATTTAGTTACATGAATGTTTTATGCAGTCATCAATCTTGAATGTACTTGTATAAATTGAATGATAAATGAAGTAGAACAAAATAATAATTTAATAATTGAATGATAAACTTACACTTGATTAAATCTTGTTCAACATAACATTGTTCAAACCTTGCATAAACCTTGTTCAAAACATACATGATATAATTTGTTACAGATATAACTTAAACCTTGTTCAAGATAGACATGACATAAACCATGTTCTCAAAATAGAAGTTACTTAAGATTGTTACAATACAGACATGTCTAAATGATTTTCTTTGGATTGTTTCTTTTTGTTGGAGTGGTCCTCCTAATGGTAGGTCCAACTGCATTTTGTGATGCACTTAGCCTGGTAGTTAGACCCATTGTAACAGATGACTGAGCTGGTTTCCTAATAGGTAACTTCTTTGGCCTCCGTCCTTGTTGAGATGATTGTGTAACAGATGACTGAGTTGTTGGTTGGGATGAGTTTGTAGCCCTTTCTTGAGTTGTTTGGGTTGGTGGCTGAGATGAGTTTGTATCCCTTGCTTGAGTTGCTTGAGTTGGTGGCTGAGATGAGTTTGAATCCCTTGCTTGAGTTGGTGGCTGAGATGAATTTGAATCCCTTGCTTGACTTGGTGGATGAGATGAGTTTGAAGCCCTTGCTTGAGTTGAAGAAGTTCTCTTACATGTTGGCTTGATGTGTCCAGTTTGTCTGCACCTGGTACACCTTAGTACCATTCTAAATTTTATCATTTTTTTATTTGTCCCATCAATTTCACCCTGCTCACGGTTCCTCCTCTTCTTGGGTTTTCCTGGATTTTTTTTAATCTTGGTGGCTGCACATATGGGTACTCTGTTCTGACCCATTAATTGGTTCCATTAACAAGATAAATGATAGGTTCATAAACAACTTTATACCTTGAATTCTTATAAAACTCTAGGATGTAATCATCAATACATAGACTTTTACTCTTCAATTTAGAAATTGCATGAACACATGGGAGAGCTGTCAGTTGTCACTTTCTGTATGAATATTCATGGTCCTTTAAGTTGACAGAAAACATATCAGCTCAATTCTCAATGTGTCTGGCTTCAAAGATGAACTCAGATGACATCCTACAAAAATTCATAAAAATTGCATGAACACACAAATTCAGAGATGACATCCTTTTTTTGCAAAATTTCATAAAATGCATGAACACACAGATTCAGAGATGACATTCTTTTTGTAAAAGTAAAATGTACCTTACTATCTAATAGTTTGTGTAAGTGTTTGTTTTCTCCACTTTCTTCTTAATGTTTGGAAAAACATCTCCATCACTTAATTGTGGGAATCTCACCTTATTAGTTACCCATTTTTCCATGATGTAACCCCTTATTTCTTCAAGAATGGTCACCAATGGCTTTGCTCTTGACTTTACAATCACACTATTGAAAAGCCTCTAACAATTGGATACTTCTTCTTTATTAGTGCATCACTCCCCTCACTACCATAACCACTTTCTAACTCCTCACTATCATATGCATTTCCATTCTCATCTCCACTGTCTCCTTCCCATATCTTTTTCTTCTTTTTACTTGTTCCTTTATGGTTTCCATCATATTCAACTAGGTTGTCTTATTGTTCTTCAACATAATCCTCACTCATATCAGAATCACTAAATGCAACTTCCAAAGCACTATCATAATTGTAAGTCTCATCCTCACTTTCATTAGAGCTTCTAACAACATTCAACAAACCTGCATTAGTATTTATACCATCATGGACCTCTCCATCATTATTCAGATCTTCGAGACCTACACTCACACCCTTAACACCATATTTGTTCAAACCATCATGACCTACATTCACACCCTCTACAACATCGTTGTTCATACTCTCATTACCTTGCTTATCATCCTTAGTGACTTCTTCATAAAGATCTCCAAGTATCGCTTCTACCTCTGGGTTAAACACACTTATAGGTTCTTCCTCCATATTTATAGGTTCTTCTGTAGGACTATCAATATATTCTGGTTGAGACAGAGGATGTTCTATGTAAATATCAACATTCAAGTGTACCCTACAGAGGTCAACAACCTCTAACGCACCCTTGTCATCATTAAGAACATTTATCCCATAAAAGTGGGATCATTATAATAGATGGTGTCTACCTCAGTATAACATAGATATTTCAGTATACCAACCAATTCAAAGTAACTTCATCTATCCACATCTACTTTTAAATCATTGCATTTCCTCCCACGTACACAGTTTTTTTAGAGTCCACAAACTCACCAATATGATGAATTTTCAAACACAAAATTTCATTCATTTCTACCTAAGACAAGAAAACACAAAATTATATAACAGATTTCAAAAGAGGAGAAAATCCTAGATATCTAAACTCAACTAACAAAACTATGAACATACAATGATAGTATAAAAATGCAATGAAATTATGAACATACAATGATAATAGATAAAGACATTGTTAGAACTAACTTTGTTTGAGACCTTCGTCGTCTACAATGCGCATTCATCATCTACAATGCCTTATTTATTCTCTCTACTGGGGTCCCTATTTCAGCTTTTGTGAGAATTAAAAATGAAATGTGAATATAATCTTATTTACCATGCCACATAAGCGTTTATCTTACTTACCATGACACCTAAACAATCATTTCCTGCCAACTAAGCAATAACTTACCGTGTCAACCAAGTTTATGAGGCTAATCTAACGTTTCTAACAGAAAGGACAAACGTGATACACTTTTGATAACGTAAAGGACCAAATTAGACGTTTTAAAAGAAAGAGGACAAAAATAAACCCAGAGGTATAGGTAAGAGACTAAAAAAGGTATTAAGCCTTAAAGTTTTTATAACAAACTAAAAGAGAATAAAGTGTTCTATGTATTAGGGGTGTGCATGGTTGGTTATTTTTAAAAATCAAACTATAACAATTTTAAATCATTTAAATAGTTTGGATTCATAATCATAATCACATTTCAATTAAAATTGGTTATAAATTTGCTTATGGTTATATAAATGTTTCTTTTCAAAATCCAATTTTAAATAATCTTTTTATAAAAAGAATTTTTAAACAAATTATTTATAAATTTGAAAAAAAAAAGTTTTTTAAATTCAAAATTCTATTATTTTGTTAAATTTTATTACTATTTTATTTAAAAATATTGGTTTGCATATATATATATATATATATATATATATATATATATATATATATATATATATATATATATATATATATATATATATATATTTTTTTTTTTTTTTTGTAAAAGTATTGTTAAATTTTAAATTTTTTTTACCAAAATAGCCAACTTTTTAAAAAAAAAATCTCAAAATAACTGACTTTTCAATTTATTTTCCAAAGTACCGCACTTTGGGGGTGTGATAGAGTGCAAGCGCCAACTCAATTGGGGACTACTTTGCAGGCTCAAGAGGTGTCGCCAATTGGAATAGAGACACCATATGATATTGTCAATCCAATTGGTAATAGGGTGTAAAAATTTGAATATTGTCGTCAATTCATTTGGAGACATGGTACAATATGTAATTTTACTATAAATAGAGGTGGTATGATCAATTATTTTCACATATATTCTCATATTCTTATATTAGTGATAACATGGATTGTCGCCCCAACGATTATTTGAAGAAATCACTTTCCCGTAGCAGCGACGATACATGTTATCACTAATATATATAT